AAGTCCTTTTTAGTTCATGAAGAAACTTCTAGTCGCGACCCAAAAGCTTGAGAGGGATGTTGTCCTGTGTAGAATCTCTTGCAGTTTGAAATGGTTGCGAACGCATTGATCCTTTCAGTTGTAACAAGATTCTTCCTCCTTCTGCTTCCTCCTCCTACACATCAGCAACTGTGTTGGTTCTTGTGGCACCCAGACCTTGATGAATAATCACGTGTATTTCCTTTTCAAGTTCCGCAGACTGCCTTCCCCCGGACACGGCTGCTTTCATTTCTTCTTAACTAACTTAACTCTTTATTGTACAATACTCAGAACGCTGACATTTTCTCATATCTTTGTTACAATTTCATCCTGTGTTATACCAGCTATCTATCCCGTGACGTCAATCCCCAACTGTTTGTGGGACACTCTTGTGCGCAATTGGCTGCTGCGTTTCGTCCACAAAATGTACAATCATTTCACTTTACAGTATATGCTGTGAACCGCTTTGAGATGTCTTGAAGACATGATAAGGCCATCTATCAAATGCAAGGATTATTATTATTATGCTTATTGTTCTGCAATTCGCTAGATATGACATTTCATTAAACCAATAAATATCACCTCATATATACGACCACTAAAAGTATTCACTACACTTAGTTTAAGGTAACAATAATTAGTTCACTGTTACCAGTATGTTATAATAAGTTTACATGGTTTACTGTATGTTATAATGGAATTACATTTATAAAACAACGAGGGGAGCAGACACCACAGTCTGTTGAGGATCGAAAATGACTAAGTTAATTGCAGAGTTTCCAGATTAATATATTCCTTTAAAATTCAGGACTTGTAGGCTGTTGTGGTAATAAGAACTTTTGTTGCTTTTATATTGAGTTGAATTTCACACGTTAAGCCCTTGGCTCTCAGAAGGAAATCTAGGTTGGTAGGCAGCTGAGTCAGACACTGTAAGTATAAAATATTACACTCTCCACATTAAATGGTCATTGACCATCGACGGGCTCGCAAGCATGATAGCTTAGTTTGTTATGCAGACAATGGTTCGTTATCCAGAGGTCGAGGGTTTGTGATCTTAACAATGAGGAAGATAACCAGAAGAAGGGTGATATAATCAGCAAGAGAGTGCTAATAACAAGATTACATCTGTATAGCGCCTTTCATGTTGGGAGGACGTTCCAAGGCGCTGGACAGTGACAGCATTTCAGACCCGAGCTGGGGTCAGGGAGGGAGAAGGGAGGGGAGGGGAAGGGGGTAACCGATGGCATGGTCGAAAAGGAGGGTTTTGAGGCGGGACTTGAAGGAGACTAAGGAGGGGGTGAGGCAGAATGACTGGGGGATGGAATTCCAGAGGTTTAGGGGCAGAGTGGCTGAAGGTTTTCCCACCAATGGTGGGGGCGGGTGGGTCGGGGGATGTGGAGCAGGCCAGAGCCGGCTGAGCAGAGGGAGCGGGCGGGTTGATAGGGGGTTAGGAGATCACAGAGGTAGGGTGGGACGAGGCCATGGAGGGCTTTGTAGGTGAGGACCAGGATATTGAACTGGATCTTCTGAAGGATGGGGAGTCAATGGAGTTGGGCGAGAGTGGAGGAGATGTGGTCACAGAGTTTGGTGCAGGAGAGGAAATAGAGGTCTGGATTATCTGCAGCTGTGGAGGGAGGAGTTGGGAAGGCCGACAAGCAGGGCATTTGCATAGCCGAGCCTTTAGGTGATGAAGGCATGAACAAGAGTTTCAGTGGCCTGAGGGGTGAGGTAGTGGCAGAGTCGGGCGATGTTACGAGGTGAGGGAAGGTAGAGCGGGTCATGGCTTGGATGTGGGGAAAAAAAGACAGTTGAGGGTCGAACAAGACACCCAGGTTCCTGACTGGCTGGTGAGCAACCATGGAGGTTTGTGCTGCCAGAGCCGGAGGTGCAGAGGCATTGGCGTGAGACAATCAGGAAGGCACATTCAACTGTAGGAAATTTGCCCTCATCCAGGACTTGATGTCCGACAGCCAGTCTGTCGGTCCTGGAGTTGAGGGTAGAGGCAGAAAGATAGAGTTGGGTGTCGTCCCCAAACATATGGAAGTTGATCCCATGTCTGCAGATGATGTCACCAAGCATTGTGATATTAAAGAGGAGACAAGGACAGAGCCCTGGGGGACGCCAGATGTGACAGTGTGGGGGCTGGAGGAGAAACCGTTAGAAGCAACAAAGTGGAGACGCTGAGAGAAATAGGATTCGATCCAGGCAAGGGCAGGTCCATGAAGATTAAGAAAAGAGGAGGGACTGTGTATGAGAATGGAGTGGTTGATGGTGTCGAAGGGGGCAGAGAGGTTAAGGAGGACAAGGAGGCAGAGGGAGCCCTGATCACAAATGTTCAGAATGTCATTAGTGACTTTGACCAGGACTGTTTCCGTGCTATGGGCAACGAGGAAGCCGGATTGGAGGGGTTCAAAGAGTGAACGGCAAGAAAGAAAGGAGCAGAGCTGGGACGCAAAGACTCATTCCAGGACCTTGGAGAGGAACGGGAGGTTAGAGATGGGGCGGTAGCTGGAGTGGAGGGATGGGTCCAGGGAAGGTTTTTTCGGGGTGACTCTTTATGACTCCAAGGACAGTTGAAAACAACTCCTTATACGGAAAAACTCATGAGATTAACTGGAGATAATGAAAGGTTATAAAAATGCATTATTTGTTGAGAGGTGGGGAGAGCTAAAGACCAAAATGGATTAGTGAACCCTGTGGTCAAAAACTGATGAACATTAAGAAGACAGACAGTTTGATTTGCTTCTAGAGTGTGGTTCTGATCATTCCAAGCCCCGAGTCATGCTCCGCAATCGTACGTGTTAAAAACTTTGATTGTTGTAACTGTCGCTGGATTTCTAGTAAACCTTCGGTTTTAACATTTAACTTTACCTTGGGGTCCACCAAATTTGGATTTGAGATTTTAACTGCCTCTGCTGAGGATAAGGAAATAAACCCTGCAACACATGGGCTGTGGCAGCAACCATTAGCACTGTAAGGAAAGAGTTAAAATTCTCTGGTCATGAGTTGAGGGTGAGTTCACCAGGAGATACCACAGCTGCTCAGTGAGAGAAGTGGGCGCTTCACCTCAGAATATTGTTTGGGGCTTTATCAACACACCAGCATTGGGCAAATGGGCAGTGTGTTCAACAGGCGAGTATCCTGTCCTGATGACGGAAAACTGAGGAGTCTAAAAGTTTGCATTTCTTCAAGAGTTTTCAACTCCCAAGGTGTCAAAAAGAGAATTCAGTGCCGAGCTGGACCTTTCACAGTTTCACACTCGGGACAAATAATAATAATAAGATTGGTCACTTCAATCCACGTCTGTTTGTGGGGACGCTGCAGTGCGCAATTGTCTGCCGCGTTTCGCCCACAAATATACAGTCAATTCACTTTACAGTATATGCTGTGCAGCGCTTTGAGTCGTTTCGAGGATGTGATGAGGCACTATATCAAAGATTATTATTATTATTTTATTATTGGGACATGAAAATTCTTGTACGGTTAAGATAGGATAAAAAGATGATTGGATGAACCAGTTCGGGGGGCGTGAGAGGCTCATTGAACTTCGAACTGTGATTGGACAAAACAACCTATGAACTCCGTTTTTGGTTGCAAAGGTAACAAAAAACACCAAATCTTCCCAAAGGAAGTAACCCACCAGACCCGCGAGAACACCTCGCACTTACACAGCGCCCCTCAAGCGCCCCGCGGTGCTTGACAGTGGCGGAGCACGACATCGAGCCGGGGGAGCGGGGAGGTGACCACAGGCGCGGTCGAGTTAGGAAGGTCTTCGAGCGCGACCTGAAGGTGGGGAAGGAAGGGGCGAGGCGGAGGGATGGAGGAAGAGGGTTCCAGAGTTTTGAGGTGTCACGGCTGAAAGCGTGGCCACCGATGGTGGAACAGAGAGCACGGGGGGGACATGCGGGAGGTCGGAGCCAGTCGAGCGGGGTGTTGGGGAATGGGTTGGGGGGGCTTCAGCAGGTGTTAGTGTGTTAGTTGCTGCCACCACACGGAACGGCACTTTGATTGAGACGTTGTTATGTACATTGGTTTAGATTTATTCTGAGTAAAGATCGATGCGAGTTACGCCATCGCCATCGCCATCGGCATCGCCATCGGCATCGCCATCGGCGGCGGAGTTTGTTGTTCTCACAAGTCAGTCCTACACCAACATGAAGTTTATCGTGTGTGAGAGAGAGGCCACTGGGGGCGCTGTGTGAGAGAGGCCACTGGGGGCGCTGTGTGTGTGAGAGAGGCCACTGGGGGCGCTGTGTGAGAGAGGCCACTGGGGGCGCTGTGTGTGTGAGAGAGGCCACTGGGGGCGCTGTGTGTGTGAGAGAGGCCACTGGGGGCGCTGTGTGTGTGAGCGAGAGGCCACTGGGGGCGCTGTGTGTGTGAGAGAGGCCACTGGGGGCGCTGTGTGTGTGAGAGAGGCCACTGGGGGCGCTGTGTGTGTGAGAGAGAGGCCACTGGGGGCGCTGTGTGTGTGTGAGAGAGGCCACTGGGGGCGCTGTGTGTGTGAGCGAGAGGCCACTGGGGGCGCTGTGTGTGAGAGAGAGGCCACTGGGGGCGCTGTGTGAGAGAGAGAGGCCACTGGGGGCGCTGTGTGAGAGAGAGAGAGGCCACTGGGGGCGCTGTGTGTGTGAGAGAGGCCACTGGGGGCGCTGTGTGTGTGAGAGAGGCCACTGGGGCGCTGTGTGTGTGTGAGAGAGGCCACTGGGGGCGCTGTGTGTGTGTGTGAGTGTGTGTGAGGGGCCGCTGTGTGTGTGTGTGTGAGTGTGAGTGTGAGTGTGAGAGAGGGGCCGCTGGGGCGCTGTGTGTGTGTGTGTGTGTGAGGGGCCGCTGGGGGCGCTGTGTGTGTGTGAGTGTGAGTGTGTGTGAGGGGGCCGCTGGGGGCGCTGTGTGTGTGTGAGTGTGTGTGAGTGTGAGAGAGGGGCCGCTGTGTGTGTGAGGGGCGCTGGGGCGCTGTGTGTGTGTGTGAGTGTGAGGGGCCACTGGGGGCGCTGTGTGAGTGTGAGTGTGAGAGAGGGACGGGATGGAGGTCAGTCACTCCATTAAGGAGCGCACTATCGCCGAGAACAGTTTGCTGCTGCTGCTGCAGGGCCTCCACGGGCTGCCGACCACTGTGGAGCTGCGGGACGAGAGCCGCGCGCGGGGCCGAGTGCTCAACGTGGACGCCTTCATGAACATCCGCCTGGAGGCCGTGACCTACACCGACCGGCGCGGCGCCGCCTCCCGCCTGGACCAGCTCTTCATCACCGGCAGGAACGTGCGCTACGTGCACATCCCGGACCAGGTGGACATCATAGCCACCATCGAGCGGCAGCTGCAGCAGATCCACCGCGTCAGGAACTTCGGGGGCAGAGACCAGGGCCGGAGGGAGTTCCCGACAAGGAAGTGACCCCCCGACCCCACAGGGCACTGGGGGGGTGTCCGGCACCGCCCCCCCCCCCTCACTCCCTCCCCCCCCTCACTCCTCTCCCCACTCCCCCCTCACTCCCTCCCCCCTCACTCCTCTCCCCACTCCCCCCTCACTCCCTCCCCCCCACTCCCCCCTCACTCCTCTCCCCCCCACTCCCCCCTCACTCCTCTCCCCACTCCCCCCTCACTCCCTCCCCCCCACTCCCCCCCCCCTCACTCCCTCCCCCCCCTCACTCCCTCCCCCCCCTCACTCCCTCCCCCTCACTCCCTCCCTCCCCACACACCCCCTCCCTCCCCCCACACCCCCTCACTCCCTCCCTCCCCACACTCCCCTCACTCACCCCCCTCACTCACCCCCCACCCCCCTCCCTCCCCACAACCCCCTCACTCCCCCTTCACTCCCCTCACTCGCCCCCCACTCCCTCCCCACCCCCCTCACTCCCCCCACCCCCCTCACTCCTCTCCCTACTCCCCCCTCACTCCTCTCCCCACTCCCCCCCTCACTCCTCTCCCCACTCCCCCCTCACTCCTCCCCCCACTCCCCCCCTCACTCTCCCCACTCCCCCTCCCTCACTTCTCTCCCTACCCCCCCTCCCACTCCCCCGCATTAACAATAATATAATAATAATTTGCCAACTTCAATCCACGGCCGTTTGTGGGGACGTCGCAGTACGCGATTGGCTGCCGTGTTTCGCCCCCTCCAAAACATATACAGTCGAACCACTTTACAGTATATTTGAGACGTCTCCCAAGGATTATTATTATTATCAGCCGTCACTCCCAGGGGCATTGCTCACAATATACACACTTTGCAGTGTATCCTGTGAAGCGCTTTGAGACGTCTCAATGATGTGATACGGCTCTGTTTCACATGTATGGATTATTATTGTCTACTCTGTCCTTCAGAGCTCCTCGTCTGCTCGTTCAAGTGGATGTTAAAGATCCCACGGCACTATTCGAAAAGAGAAGGGAGTTTTTCTCTCCCCGGTTTCCTGGCCAACAATCCCCCAAATAAATAAAATTGGTCACACACTCCATGGCTGTTTGTTGGAGAATACTGTGTGCAACTGGCTGTTGCAATGTTTTGCCCACAAAATGCACAGTCACTATGTAATATATCCTGTGAAGTACTTTCTGATGCCTCAACGATGTGATAAGGTGCAATATAAAATGCAAGGTTATTATCAGCTGCAGCTGTGACGTGGGATCATCTGTTGCCTGCAAAGGCATAGGAACTTGGTTCCTCTCTTTTTTTTGTCTTGTACGAGCTGTTTATTGACCACCTGATGTTATGCAACTGTTTTGCTAAATACACCCTTAAACATTTATTTTTTTTAAACTATTTAATGTCCACAGTAATTCAGTGCCTTGGGATGTGCTCCTGATGTGAAAGGTTCACTTCTCTGACTTATGTTCAAAGTAGCCAAGTGATGGGATGATGTCTCTATTTGCTTTAAGAGTTCAACGTGTGCAAAACTGAGGCCCTCCTGATTGGCTCACGTCAGCACCTCCGCACCTCAGGCGCTGACAGCATCAGCATCCAACGCTGCACTCTCCACCTCTCAAAGCCATCAGGAACCTCGGGGTTCTGTTCGACCCTGAGCTGTCCTTTCTTCCTCATATCCGCGCCACAACTGGCACCGCCTTCCATCACCTCCGAATGTCGCCAGACTACGGCACTACCTCACCCCTCACGCGGCTGAAACCTGGTCCACGCCTTTATCACCTCAAGGCTGGACTATGGGAACTCTCTCCTCGTCGGCCTTCCCGCCACCTCCCTCCACACTGCAGGTCATTCAGAACTCTGCAGCTCGTGTACTGTCCCGCACCAGGCTTCGGGACCACATCACTCCCACCCTCGCTCGCCTCCACTGGCTCCCCATCCCCCAGAGGATCAAATTCAAGATCCTCACCCTCACCTACAAGGCCATTCACGGCCTCGCTCCCTCCTACCTCTCCGACCTACTATCCCCCTACTTACCTGCCCGTACCCTCCGTTCCTCTGGCTCCGATCTGCTCCACATCCCCCGCCCCAACCGCCCTACCATCGGTGGTCGGGCCTTCAGCCTCTCAGCCCCGAGGCTCTGGAACTCCATTTCCCAGTGCCTTCGCCACTTCCTCCCTTTCCTCCTTCAAGGCCGGTCTCAAGACCTTTCTCTTTGACGGTGCCTTCAGCTCCCCTCTCGACTCTCTACCCCCTCCTCGCTCCCTCACTTCCTCCCCTCACCCTGACCATTTCCCCCCAATGCTCGGGTCCTGACCCAACTGTCCAGAGCCTTGGGAAGTCCTCCCGACGTGAAAGGCGCTCTATAAATGGAATCTTGTTGTATTGTATTGTACGGTATATTTAGTGTGGGATGGTTTCTAGATAGTTCATCCTCTTCCTGTCAACTCCCCTCGAGGGAATATGCCAACAGCTCTGAAACCTAGTAGGGAGTTTAGACAGAGAAGCAGTATGTTCTGATTCTCTACAAAATTGTTTTAGGTTTTTTAGGAAACAAACACAGTTTTGAAGTCTGCAGAGGGAAGGAAACAGCAGTTTGATCACAGTGTATAAATGAAGTCACGGTCTAGCTAGCCTCTCATGCTGGAACCATTGTGATCGAGCCTCAATTGAATAACAAAATTAGGAGACTGTTCACAATGTCTGGACCTCGAGTGGATAAGAACGATGACTAATGAGGACAATGAGACTTTTAAAACCTCAGAACCTAGACTTTTGGTCTGAAGGCTGCTCTATATCAGTATTCCAGTAAAATCCGTTATAATGTCTGTAAATTACTGTGCTCTTTATCCAACCCTCTGGAGTAAAGCATCTTCTGTCTTAATCTGCTATGTTCCTATAAAAATGCTGCTTAATGCTGCTGAGAAATAGCATCCACCACAAAATAAGTGTCAGAATAATGAATCAGAGGCCCAGGAAACGTAAATCTGGAAGTTGACTAAATGTTGAATAGTTATGAAAACATTAGCTTTCATTTTTTTGGCGCGTTTAACATCGGGAGGATATTTCACGCAACTAACTGACATCCCATGACATTGAAGAGTTAGCAGTTCTCCCACCTTGGACACCGTTTCAATTGCATCCCAGACACACAGGGAAATCTGTTGGCTGTAAATGTACAACCTTGTTAATGAATAACTTTGAGTACTGTGTAGGACTCTTCATCCGCACACCATACATTTACAACACAAATTACATGTATACAGCAGCTTTCACGCCAAGAGGACATCTCAAAGGGCTTTACATTGCTGGCTAGGCATTCGAGCTGCGGGTGGGAGGGAGGAGGGTGGGATGGGGAAAGATGACCGAAAGTGTGGATAAAGAGGTGAATCCTGATGTAGGCCCATTCAGCTTGTAATAACCCTGCAAGTCAGAGCCTTAACAGGTAGGGTAGTGCTAGCTGAACATGCAACGGGACTGCTTGCCAGACAGTGATATCAATGGCAACCTATGCGGTTTAGCTGGTTAGACTCCAGCAGTTACCTGGAGACTTCCTACCTCTAGTGACTGGTCTGTTCTTCCAGGTCCTGCCAATGAGCCAGGTTAGCTGTGCTGTCATCACCAGTTCAGCTTCAAGGAGACCACGCTTACCGCCCCAGGAGGATAATCACTAGTTGGTCATTTGCCATCCAATAAGTGTGGGTTTGATCCCTTACTAGGTGGATGGTAGGTACCAAGAACTCCCTGCGAGCTTCCCGGTGAGCAACAACTCAGCATGAAATACATGAGAGCATTGCCACTGTCTTCCTGTCTGCAGTTCAGGCACTAGTCCCATCCCATTGAGCGATGTTCCGCCAATTGGAGATGTAGAGTTGCGTGCCTCTCTGCAGCCAATCAAGATGGATTCCAGGCGATGGACACACAAACGTGTGTCGTGAACTCGGACTCCAGGTAACACCTTCCAGCAACAGTTGCCCCAAACCACCGAGTTTTATTATCGAGCAACGCAAGCATCATGGAGTCCTGTAGCTCAGTGGTTAGAGCACTCGCTTTGCAAGTGAGAGACCTGAGTTCAATTCCAGGCAGAGGGCGAAACCTTGGGCAAGTTTCCTTACTCCACACAGAGCCTAATAATAATCCCTCCAAAACCAAAAACAATAATAAATTGGTCATTTTCAATCTCGACTGTCCGCGTTCGCCCACAAATATACAGTCAATTCACTTTACGGTGTGTTCTGTGAAGCGCTTTGGGACGTCCTCCCGACGTGAAAAGCGCTATATCAAATGCAAGGATTATTATTATTATTATCAGCAAACTGGACGGCATCTGCATAATAGGGAGTCAGATCTACAACAACAACTTGCACTTATATAGCGCCCTCCACGCAGGGTAGCATCTCAGAGCGCTTAACAGGTGAAGCCTGACTCCAGGATGGGGAGGTGACCGTAAGCACGGTTGAAAAGGAAGGTTTTCAGGCGGGACTTGAAAAGGGAGAGACGGGGCAAGGGGAGGGATTGAGGGAGAGTGTACCAGAGTTTTAGGGGTATAGTGGCTGAATGCGCAACCTCCAAACGGTGGAGTGGAGGGCGTGAGGGACAAGCAGGGGGCCGGTGCCGGTCGATCTAATCATTGGCAAGCAATGCCTGCGGGTGGCACTGTTGAGAAGGTTGTCCTCTGCCGGCCTGCGCCACCACTGGGGGATTGGGGGAAATGCAAGCAGCTGCTCCTTGGCTCCCTCAGCCTCCAGTGCTGCTGAGCAAAGGGAGAGGTGGGTCGGTTGGGTTCTGTGGAGACACAGGCAGGGTAGGGGAGGGGGGACTAGAGCCGAGCAAGGATGGAGGTGAGAGGTGGAGAAACACGGGCTGCAAAGTTCGAGATAGTCTGCAGTTTGTGAAGGCAAGAGCTGGGGAGTCTAGCGAGCAGCACATTGGTATAGGTACACCTAGATACAAAAGCGTGAATGACGGTTACAGGAGCCCCAGGAGTAATGTAGTGATGGAGGTGATTTATGCTGCTGAGCAAATGGACTTGGACCCAATGTCTATAGATAATGTAAACCAAGGAGAAGCATATAGAACAAAAGCATATAAGAAGCTACACGTGACTAAGGTAGGAGAAGCCACTTGATAAGAGAAAATGGAGACGCTGTGGTGTCAGAGTATCATTGATCCTTCAATTCTCATTCATTCTCATTCATTCTCATCCATCAATCTGGAGTCCTGTAGCTCAGTGGTTAGAGCACTCGCTTTGCAAGTGAGAGACCTGAGTTCAATTCCAGGCAGAGGGCGAAACCTTGGGCAAGTTTCCTTACTCCACACAGAGCCTAATAATAATCCCTCCAAAACCAAAAACAATAATAAATTGGTCATTTTCAATCCATGACTGTTTGTGGGACATTGCTGTGCGCAATTGGCTGCCGCGTTCGCCCACAAATATACAGTCAATTCACTTTACAGTCTATTCTGTGAAGCGCTTTGAGACATTGAGAAGACGTGAAAAGTGCTATATCAAATGCAAGGATTATTATTATTAATCTGTCACATGTATATACCCAATTATTTCTTGAATTTGTTGTGTTTACTGTAAATAAGTGTACAGTGAACAGTTCACATTCTGGCCTCTCTGATTGACTACATCTGCATGAATCAGTCTGTTAATCACATGTTCCATCCAATCAAATTATCCAATCTTACATTTGATATCTTTGGAGATTTATGTAAATCGCTGGACCTGTTTCCTTCACACAGGCTGACAGAAACTTGGAATGCACTGCCCAGAAGGTCACTCGATTAGGAATCAATTAGAATGTTTTAAAGGGAGATTGATGTTCTCAAGAAGTAAGTGGATTAAGGAACAGAGAGGAAATGACTGAAAATATGATGTGTATGGCTAACTTTCTCTTGAAGATGGTTCCTTCAGCCTCACATTATTTGGGCAGTTCACAGAAACTAGCTGGGATTAGCTGTGTATTTTCTCTGCATGTTACCAGCACAAAATACTTGGCATTAAAATTCAGACAAGTCATATTCTCAGGAAACGTACTCCTCCCTTCCTATGCGCAAATGGCTGCCACATTTCTTTTGGTCAGCTGGGTGTGCAGAAATCCATTGCCGTGTTTAAGAGACTAAAACCATACAATGTTCCACACATGTACGGCACCTAAAGCATAGAAATTTCTCATCTGGCTGGAAATGGAACGGACACTCTCATGCTGGAGGTACACACCCTGCGAACCACTCCCGGAAAGTGCTGGGACCCAGTATATGTGTTGGAGTTTAACCAACTAAAGCTGCATAGCTTGTCGTTATTGTCCGACAAGCTTCCACGCAGAATTGACTATTCCATTGCCAGGCATGTCACTTGTGAAGCCAACTCAGTCCCAGGGACCCGATTAACTCCCTACTGGGGAGGGGAAGGGTTACCCATACTTGCCTGCAAAACAGTTGTCAGCAATTACTTTGAAACATTTGTTGGGGTGTAAATGTTTCACCTGCAGGGCATGCGGTCGGTTCCCTTTGCAGTGTATTCTGTGGGGGGGGGCTTTAAATAAATGAATGAGTTAATGTGGTCTGGAAGGAAGGACAATGGCTAAGGTGATTAACTAATCAACTTAGTACAGACATTTTGATTGAAAGACAGCATTGGAACCTTGCCGGTCTGAGAACGTTTTCTTCTTGGAACAAACAGGAGATACAGGGAGACACTTAATTGATTTAACATTCACAGCCAGGATGGCGCTATTAACACGCCTGGCTGTGAGAATGGGAATGAAGTTTAAGGGTTTAAATTTAAGATTACTAAATTTAAGCAAGTGGGGGTTATAACAAGTTTGAGAAACCAAACAGTTGTTGAGTTGGGATTATTGGCAGATGAGAGCATGCAGTGTCTTCTGGCCAGTTCCCAGTAACGGCAATTATTATTTCTATATTATTTGTGTTGTCCTGTATTTTGGTAACTACCGCATTAAAATTTCTACTGTATAGTCATATCAGGTTGAAATGTCTCGGTATAAATTACGGAGAACCCAAAACATTACGATGTGAACAGATGCTGTAAAAATGGAAGTTCTTTCTCTTCCTGCAACTTTTGATTGTGTGCCATTTGGGAATAAAAGCCGTCTTCTCCACTTCCCCAATTCAGATCAGTTCAGCTGCTTGCACAGAGTAAGAGAAAGTGGGAGAGAAGGGCTTGAGAAAGAGATGGGCCACAAAGGCTTAAAATAACTGGGTATTCTTTTGTAACAACACAGTCTTGCTGATGATTCACGTTTCCCATTCGTGATTATGTGGTTGAACCATATCGTGTAATAACAGATCCATTAAGCTCCACGAGAAGCATCTTAATGTGGCTCAAATGTCAACACACCCTTTGAGAGGCTGGAATTCTTCCCACCATCCACCACTGCCAGAAAGCTCAGCTCAGCTGAAGCTTTAGCTGAATACACCAGTCATTCCATGTAGACATTCGGGTTTGCGGGCTTGGCTATATTTAATGTGAACGTATGTGTGTGTGAGTGTGTTTGACTGCTTTGTGAGAGTGTGCATCAGAATGTGGTGTGATGACATTTAAGCCACACTGTATGCATGTGAATGTTCGAACGAAATGGTGTGTGTGAGAATGTGTTTATGTGTGTGTAAGGCCATTTAGGAGTGAAATTAGGAGGCAGTTTTTCACCCAAAGGGTCGTGAAAATCTGGAACTCTCTGCCTCGTCCCCTCCCTTGCCTTCTTCAAGACGCGTCTCAAAACCCTGCCCTTCAACAGTTGCCTTTGGTCACCCTCCTTTCCCCCCTGCCCCCCATCCTCCCCGATTCCAACCCCCAGCTTGGGTACAAAACACTGATTGTCCTGCACCTTGGGACATCCTCCTGATATGAAAGGCACTATACAAGTTGTTGCTTACAGGAAAATTTTATGAAGTACTTTTCAATGTGATAAGGTGCTATATCCTATGCAAGAGCTATTATAAATGCAAGGTTTATTATTAATCTAGCATCGTTGGTCAGTACACTGGGAGAAATTTATTTTTCTTTTGATTAATGTTATAAGATCTTTAAAATCCACCTGCAGAACAGAGTTAACACTGATTTAACATCTCAATCACCAACAATGGCAGGAGAGCATTCCTCCAACACTATCTGCTTAGATCCAATTGTGGAGCCGAAATCTTCTGATTCAGAGGTAAGAAATATTACCAAAAAGCCTGTAAGGCTGATGTTACAATACAGTGGGAATGGAAACTGGTGACTCGGGGCCACTTAGTATCGGAGTGCACTGTTTACAGTGCAAATAAATGATCCGGAAAAACAGACAGAAAAATAGTTGAAATGAAATCTGCTAATCATACAAACTGATTGAGCTACTAAGAACAACAACTGGCATTTATATAGGTTCCTTCACACAGGATAACGTCTCAGAGCGCTTCACAGTTGTGCGCTGAGCAAGGGAGAAGGGGAGGGAACTGCGCAAATTATAGAGGTAGGTTTTAAGGCAGAATTTAAATATAGATTGAGGGGAGAGGCAGGGAGCTTCAGACGTTGGAGGACAGTGACTGAAGGCTTGGCTACCAATGGTGGCGCAGAGTGGGACTGTGTTGGCTGAGTGGTGGGGGCAAGCGGAGGAGGGGAAAGAAATAGGAGGAGATGATAGATGGTGAGTGTGGAGTGATTTATATGAGCAAATTGGCTTTGAGACATCTCTTGATGTGAGAGGCGCTAAAGCAAATGCAAGAATTATTATTATTTAAGCACTAATTGTTGGCTCTGCTCACACTACTGTGAGTATCCAGCAGATGGTGCTTTGCAGGAATACATTGCCATATTGGTGTGATTAACATTTGAACTGTATTCTCGCTGACATCTGTTGCATTCGTGATGAGTTCAGTAGGAAACATCCGATCCCAGCAGCTTGCGAGGACACATTTCCATCACTGTTGCTTTTTTCCTCTTCTTTATTTCAAAGAATAATTGAACGATCAGCATGACTCACGGGACATTGTCTCTTACCCCAGGAATGATTGACAGACAGGTTGGCAGTGTGACTCAGAGTTTCCACCTGACTGCCACATCCATCTCTACTTCACTTGCACTTTTGATCCTTACTGACAAATGAGTCAATCGAGACTGATCACAAGAGCGGCACCCTATCAACAATAATCTTTAATAATCCTTGCATTTGATACAGAGCCTTATATCAAAGTCTAACAGAATCTCAAAAAAAATCCCCCCCATCTCATGAAATCCAGTATATGATTTCTCTTTCTGAGTCAATGATCTGAGATGGAGTTGGATTGGTTGGCTCTGTGTGCTATCAGTTTACATCTCGATTGGATCGGGTTATGGGCTGTAGTTTGTGATTACCTGCCTGAAAGGAGAGAGAATGCAATAGGATAGAAAGGAAGGACCTTTTGAACACAGCGAATGCGAAGAGCCTGAGACAAATGCAACACAATTCTCTTTAAGATCAGTGACCTCAGCCAGAACATGAGAACATTTTGATGTGCTGGTGTTGTGTCCAGAGCCTGGGTTGGAGAGAGAAAGGAAGAAACTTTACAACGGTAGGTACCATCATGCTGACTATTTCACGAGTTCTCTGAGTGTTTTATTTTGTTTGATTGGTGGGGGAGAAAGCGCAGATCAATTCAGAATAGTTGTGATTATTTGCATAGCTCCACACCATTGGAAACAGTGACTTTCTGCTGTGCTATAAGATAATTGGAAACATCTGGTACTATAGACCCACTTCTTCCAATTATACACAACAGGACTGGTTGCAATCTCGACTGCTTTTTTTTTGAATCATTCCTGCCAAATTATCCAATAAAGTGAGATTCGAGCACTTTGACGTCTCAGCAGAAGGATTGAAAATAAGGATTTTTTTTTTGGCAAATGCTCAAAGTCCGACTTGGCAAAGTTCCTAACTGTGAGCAGTTTGCAAATTCCTAATGAAAACAAACGAGGCAAGATTTAATTGCAATTAATCTGAACGTTTATTCGATCCCAATTAGCTTTAATCTATGCCAGGAATCCACAAAACCCAGTCATCTCGCACGCAGCAAGGACACAAGACTGGTGCTGAAATACTTGTGTGTGTGTGTGGTTTTTTTTTAACCCTTTTCCTTTCTTTTACGCCCAAACTGCTTTTTTTTTCAAAAAAAAAAGTTTCACAATAATGTCTCATACCAACTCAAAGCCCAACTTCCCGCAAAGGAGCTGAGTTAGATCATGAAGTTGGGTAACATGGATTTTAACACTGTGATTGTGCAGAGAGAGCTTTTCCCCCTCTCACCCCCGCCCACCACCCCCCACGGATCAAATTAATCACAGCTCAGACAGTTTCTCATTCTGGGCAATTTGCAGCCCTGCAAACTCGGTTCCTATATTAGGACAGAACCATGATCAGGAGCAAAACAAACTCCACCATCCAAATCGTCGCCCATCATCTCTCACTCCTAACACGTGTAGTTGGAGAATAAAGTAGGGTTTGGCTGCCCTGAGGCTGTTGCTGATGGAAACGTTGTAGAAAGTCGCAGCTCTCCCGTGAGATGCATCTGTTGCATCGCATAAACTGCTGCCAAGTTCTTGTACACCAGTGAGGCCAAGGGTTTGCCAGAAACCAAAATACACTGCACGTTTGCAGCCCAAAGTCCACCAAGCACTTGCCCCAAAAAGTAGCCCCATTGCAAGCATGCATTGCCTCCCTATGGGGCAGCAGAGTGGCTGATGTAGTTTTGGTGCTTTTGAAACTGTGTGAGTGAAAGGTCAGTAGAGTTGGGGAGGAGACGAAAACAAGTTTTGCAGTTTAAAATTAGCAAATCCGCCCAATTGAGCGGGAAATCGCCCAATCCCGCAGCCCCGAGTGAGCCACGCGCCCGCCTCCCGTCCGCGCTTGTGATTGATTGGTCGGGCGGGAGTGTCAATCACTCCCAACTGTCGGCGTGCGTCAAAGAGGGCGTGAGCGGCCGGCAACGGGGCGTTCGGCGGTGATTGGTCAGGACCGAGCGCCACTCAGGCGAGGGCGGGAGCGAGGCGCGCCGGGCACGACGCTGATTGGATGCAGACACGTCAATCATAGCGAAGGGCGTGGCGGCGGGTGGGAGGAGGGCGAGGCACGGCCGTTGCCAGGCAGTCGGCTCCCCGGAGCTCGCGAGAGATGGAGCGCGGCTCGGCGGCCTCGCGCCGGAACCCCGGGCCCAGGCCTCAGCACCAGCCCCGGGCTCCGTGTGGCATGAGCCGCCGTGAGGACGCTTAGCGGGGCCGGCGCTGTCACAGGTACGGCGGCGGCTTGGTGGCGCGTGGCGGCGGCGGCGCGTGCAGAGGCGGCTGGTGTCCGGGGCTGCAGCCGCCGCTCGGAGGCCGCGGGGCCGCGAGGCTCCTGTTGCCATCTTGCGACTGTTCTTTATTTAAAAATAGAGTGTCCCCTTTCTGCAGACGGCGGCCCGGCTGAGGGGGGGCGGGGGGGTGGCTTTCTTTCTTTCTCCTCCCGGGGGAGGAAGGGTATTTGCCGGGGCCTCTGGCCGGGCCGCAGTCTGTCTTGTCTTGTCTGGCTGCTGCTCCAGTGCAGTGCCCCGGGGGGCGGGCGGTGGAGCCGCGCTGTCAACGCCGGAGGAGTGGGGGGTGGGGAGTGGGGGGATGAGGAGTGGGGGGTGGGGGGGGAAGTGTGAGACTCCAAATCACCTTTTTGGTCGGTTAACAACATTAATGTTCATTGCATATCGTCCCTGAAGACCTTCCTCTTTGACCGTATTGAGATGATAGTCATCATCCTGCATAATAATCCTTGCATTCGATATGGCGCGTATCATGTTGGCTGAGAGGTCTCCAGGCGCTTCACGGAGTTTATTTGTAAAAAGTCTATGCATTGACTGTATTTCGTGGCCGAATATTTTAGGGTCACCCTCTTACCCAGTGGAGTCCTGTAGCTCAGTGGTTAGAGCACTCGCTTTGCAAGTGAGAGACCTGAGTTCAATTCCAGGCAGAGGGCCAAACCTTGGGCAAGTTTCCTTACTCCACACAGAGCCTAATAATAATCCCTCCAAAACCAAAAACAATAATAAATTGGTCATTTTCAATCTACGACTGTTTGTGGGACATTGCTGTGCGCAATTGGCTGCCGCGTTCGCCCACAAATATACTGTCAACTCACTTTACAGTATATTCTGTGAAGCGCTTTGGGACATCCTACCGATGTGAAAAGCGCTATATCAAATGCAAGGATTATTATTATTATTATTATTACCCTCCCCACCTCCCCCTCCCACCTGGCTCGACATCAGGTTCCGCTCCGCCACCGATGCTATCCCACATGAAGAACACTATATAATAATAATAATCCTTGCGTTTGATGCAGCGCTTTTCACGTCTTCTCGATGTCTCAAAGTGTTTCATAGAATAGACTGTAAAGTGAGTTGACTGTATATTTGTGGGCGAACGCGGCAGCCAATTGCGCACAGCAATGTCCCACAAACAGTTGTGGATTGAAAATGACCAATTTATTATTGTTTGTTTCGGAGGGATTATTATTAGGTGTGTGGCGTAAGGAAACTTGCCCAAGGTTTCGCCCTCTGCCTGGAATTGAACTCGGGTCTCTCGCTTGCAAAGCGAATGCTCTAACCACTGAGCTACAGGACTCCACATATACTTGCAAGTTGATGTTGTTTTGCTTGATGTATGCTGTAAATCAAGAAATATTTAATCAGGAAAAACTGGAAGCACTTGTTTTAACACAGACCCGCCTAGACTAGTGTAAATGGCCATTTCTCGATGGCCCCCAAGAGCCATGGGTTGGCCACCACTGCTCTAAACTGATCCCACGGTGCTAATGGAGCGACTCCCATTGCCCTGGCCGACTTAGCTGCCGGATAAATTGGTTGTAAATCAAATGATTTGGTTGTTTTTGCCGACAGCTAAAGTCACTACACTCAACTAGTATAAATCGGACGAATACTTTGCCTCGAAGGAGGCTGGTAAAAGAAAATATAGCAACAATAGATGGTTGGGAATGAAGTGACATCAGATGAGATGCTTGTTAGACATCAAGGCCTAGATGAGCGATAACGTTCTGCAACTGGACATGGACAAGCTTGAAGCCATGGCTTTCATCATTGTCTTCTCACTAGCTCCTCTGACCTCCTTAACCTCCGCAGCCAATCCCTCAGACTCACTGAACCTGTATGCAACCTAAGCATTGTGTTTGTCCCCAGTTGTCTTTCCTACCCCAAATCCATTCCCTGACCAGAAACACTTTCCTCTACATCCGACCATATCTCACACCCAAAGTTGCTGAAACCCACACTTTTGTCACTTCCTGCCATTTTTCCAATGCCCTCCTAGTTGGTTTCCCCAACTTCACCATTCACATTGTCCACTGATTTTAAAAACTTATTGCCCATATCCTCACTTGTACCAAACCCTACACTTCCTTCACCCCAGTCCTGGATAGCTCCCTATCACTGAATGGATCCATTTCAGGATCTTCACACCTTTCACTTCAGGCCCTTGCACCTCTCCAACATGCTCATACCCCACTCTACCCACCCCTTCACTTAGCTGGCTCAGGCCTTCTACATGTCCCTTGACCTCTCCACCATCAGTATCTGTGCTTTATGCCATTATTCCCCAAATCTCAGGAACTCCATGCCTCAATCCCTGGGTCCTTTCTCCTCTTTGTCTTCAGATCGCATCTGAAGACTTCCTCTTTGACCATGTCTATGGTTGTTTATCCCGGCTAGGCGTCTAATTACACCACTTACTCACTCTGAGACACCTCCCTGTGTGAAGGGTGCTATATAAATGCAAGTTAAGTTAGGGAGGAAGAAGATACTAGATAAATTAGACAAACCTAACAAAGCATCAGGCCCAGGTGGATTGCACCCTAAAGAAGGTTAGAGGTAGCTGAAGCACTAGTGAATATATTTAGGAATTTAGTAGAAAAAATAATTATACCAGAGAACTCCAGGGTGACAAATGGTAATACCCATTTTAAAAAAAAGTTATTGGAGTATATTAAAGGATACAATAAATTAAGGGCATGGTAACCGAATGGATTAAAAAATAAAGACAAAGGGTAGGAGTTAATGTGGGCAACTAGCAGCATCTCACCCGGGCAAGCAGCAGGAAGTGGTGTTACCCAGGACCGAGGTACTAGGACACTTCTGTTCACCATGTGAAATAAATAAATTGGATTTAGATATAGGAGGTTTGGTGTTGAAAATCACAGGGGTAACCAAACTAGAAATGAAAAAGAATTGCAAAGAGAAGGAAGCCATGAACAGCCTTGCAGATGGGCAGATAGATAGCAGATGAAATCTATTTTCGGGAAATGCGAAATGATTCACTATCGTGGGAAGAATAAAGAAGCCGACAATATACTGGATGGTAGGAACCTAAGAGGGGTAGAGGAAAAAAGGGATCTTATGATACAGATTCACAAGATTAAAACTAGCAGCACAGGCAGACAAAGTCACTAAAAAAGTCACTAAAAAAATGCAAATATAGTTGGATTTATGTTCAAAGAAATAGAGTATAAAAGTGTAATGTTACATTTATATAAAACCTT